CTTTAGAAGCCTTCAGAATATGATCCTGATATACTAAAAGTCTAACTGTCCCAAAACCCCCAGAATGATATTGTGTGATGCATAGCTCCAAGAATTATTTACAAAAACCTGCTAGAAAAGTTTATAGATCGGGTCTTTCAGAGAATTTTTTTCTAATCTAACTTCAGATTCCTCAGACCCTTCATTAAAAGCCTTATTTATATCCTTTTCATTGTTATTTATATTTACTTCATTTGTATCTACTTCATCGTCACTAATGTCTACAACTTCCATATAAGAACAACTAGATCTAGCAATCATAGTAGCAGCTGCATTTAGTTAGTTGTCACTTAGTTGGTTGTCATTTAGTTGGTCGTCACTTAGTTGGTCATCACTTAGTTGGTTGTCACTTGGTTGATCGTCACTTGGTTGGTTGTCACTAAGTTGGTCATCACTTGGTTGATCATCATTCTGTTGGTTGTCACTCTATTAATCATTACTTTCATCTAGGGATGGTAAAAAAAAACAGGTTTAAATATTTTTTCACTAATTTAAAACAAGTAATGATTAAAGTCCTAATAGTTAAATTTGGATGAATATATTTAAAACCAAAATCATTATCTGTTTTTAATTATATAATAAAAAACTTTTGCCATCTTTACTTTCATCCTCAATTTCAGCAGAATTAATTGATTTGGTAGATGCAAGGTTACAGGTATTGTGAAATGACATTCCGCATATATATAAAATAGTATCAAGGAAAGATTCTAATATTTCATGTTCTTTTAATTGCAATTTCTTTGCACTAAATAACAGGCGTGGTTTCTTACATTTAGCACAAACAATAGTGATTCCAATATTTTTTGCACGTGTAGAAGAAGGGCTAAATGGTATGGTATGTTTCATAGTAGTAGTTTTACCTGACCTGATGGTTCATAATTTAGCATCTCTTAGTGAGGATCTATATTCCTCTGTTGTAGTGGTGCCATATAACTCATCAAATAATTTATAATGAAGATCTTCGCCAGAGGTTGGATCGAGAATATAATAAAGTTGATCAAATTCCTCCTGAGAACATCGAAGTGGTAAGCAAGTCATATATGATTCATTTTTGCACTTCTTAATAGTAAAGGAATAATGTCTTACTCTACAACAGTGTTCTATGAATTCCTTCAACCATGGCTACAAGAAGGCAAATATTATTATTAATAATATTATAATTTTTTTTTTAGAGATGCTATATAACGATATTTATCATTATTATTAATTTTTTTTATTATACTATATGACTGATAAAAATTGGAATCTCTGTTTAAAAATATAAACCATACTAAAACAACAGGAGAAAACGTACCTGATCCAAACTGTGAGGGATTATATTTGTAACATTAGTAGTTAAGTGATCTATCATTGTTAGCATACCAAGTATGGGATTAAGCTTGGATTAGGTATGTTTTCTTCTGCTTACTAAAGTCCTCATATAAGTGCTACCAAAGAAAAGCCTGTTATTGAGTTTTAAGTTTATTGCTTATTGGACTTATTCTATTTGATTTGTATCTGATAATTTATAAATGTAGGAGCCCACTGACAGATTTTCCTTAGTATACTTATATTTACATAACTTAGAAAAAAATAAAAATAAAAAAAAAATAAATAAATAAAAATGAAAAGAATAAAAAAAATAAAAAGAAAAAAATTAAAAAAAAAAAATTAAAAATTTTTTTACTAACTCTTTTTCATATTATCATTATGCATATTCGAAATAAGATCAGATCAAGTCATAGACAAGTTTTGTTATATAAAAATATATACAACTTAACTAATTTACAAGTGCTAATTGCTATTTTGCAGAATTTGATGTAATATAACAGGTGATACAAATTTCAAAAAAAAGAAACTTTAATAATAGCATTTAACTAGAGATGTGCGATAAGGCAAAATTAGTAAATGCACAATCATACATACCCTACACATTGTAATAATCTATAATAAAATATTCAAGTTTAGAAGAATGCATATTTTCAGGATAATGTATACGGCAAAGATGGGTTCTTGCATAAAGTACACATATCACAACTGTAAATTTTTCTTATTTTTATCATAAACCCCATCCTGTACCTTGGTGTCAAATACCATAATAATAAATTTTTGTTCTAGTATATACCTTTTTATTTCATTATAATTTGCTCTATACTTTGCAGATAAGTATTTTTCTGTATCTTGGAATTGGTGTTAGATACTATAACTTTAAATTTCTTGTGCTGGTACCTCCTCTTTTTATCGTAAATTCCTATATCTTGGCGTCAGATACCATAATAATAAATTTGTTTTGGTATATATCTTAATGTAAATCTGTTTCTGTATCTTGCAAATACTATAATAGTTTTTTTTTCATAATAAGTATTCGAACTTTGGGATTGGCATTAGGTACTATTTAAATTTCTTGTCCTGATTTCCACCTTTTTTATTATAAATCTCTCTAATACTTTGTGATAGCTGTTAGATATCGTAACTATAGTTCTTAAAAAAATAGTAAACTGTTTAAAATTTTTATATAAACTTCAATAAGAAAATGCTAATTTTTAATGCATGTTGGAAAATCTATAGCCGAAATATTCTTGATACAATGCAAAGAAAAAAAAATATCATTTAGTTTGATCTACCAATGTTTCAACATTCTTGAGCCTTATTTTTCTGCATTTAGCCTTGCATATTATTGGTATT